TATCATCTCTGTAGTCTCAAGAGATTTAGTGCCCTGTATGAATAGTCAAATGAATTTGTATTCAATGGAAATAAAGTGAAACCTGCCTTTGAAGTAATGGCAAGGTATTAAATTTAAAATTTAATTCACACCGAACTTGTATGTTGAGAGCAAGATTGTCTCATTCTTAGAGTTCCTCTAGACTCTTAGAAAAGATATCTCAATTACTAATTACTTAAATTAAAATCAAAGAAAATATGTGGGTTTGGGTCTAAAATTAGGAAATATATACTGAATGTTCATTTAAATTTGTGTGATATAAAATATGTTTAAAAATTTAAAGATGGCCTCAAAGCCACTGTAAGTTTGTTATCTATCAATTTAATCATTGGCCTTTTCAATCTTATTTGGAGCTTTATTTGTCTTTGAATGCACACTTCATTAGTTGCTGTTAATAGTTGTTACTCATGTTCTATTGGAAATGTAAAGTAAAAGGCTAATAGTGGGAATTGTGACGAAGTTAAATGTAACATAAGATGCATCAGACAATTCTTATCATGTTTGGCCTGCATGTGAATTAACAAAGAAAGAATTTCGTATAGTATGTGTAGATATTAAAATGTGTACGTAAGACTAAGTTACAATCAAATAAGCCACGTCATATGTATGAACCAACCTTAAGTGTGTAGATATGTTTCATACATGCATAGACTGTCTAATTTTAACCTGCTTACCTGCAAACACACTGCTTGCCACTACAGACTTTCTTCCCAAATTAACCTAAATTGTTCACAACAATGAAAGTAAACTGTTGAGAACTTTGGAATAAAGGGATTAGGGTGAAGAAAGTGGAGAATTAAATTCCCTAGAAAGTGCTCTGAATGAATCCTGATTTTCCTCTAGTGAAGGAGCTAAATTTGCCCTTAAATTCAACTGAGACTAATACACCTCATTGCTGCCATCTATTGGTAATTGAGTTTCCTAATCGAAATATCCTAGTGAATATTTCCAAAAAGAAAATTCAGTTCCATGACCCTAATGAAACAGAATAACAAATGTAATGTTTACAATACAAAACAACGTTTTTCTACAAGTTTTAAAATCCTAACTTTCCTATAGTAAATTGAGATATTAATAAATTTTGATCCACAATTCTAATAAAGAGAAATTCTACACATACTCATACTTTTAGTATGTACGTGTACATATGTACAGCCAGCCAAATCTTAAAATGAACTGTGTGTACCTCACCATGTTCTTTAATAATGAATTTGGAGAGGTTCCAGACTTTGTGCCAAGTTGTAATGCTACGAAAAGTCTTTAACCTAAGCCGTCTCTCTGTCACTCTCCAACACTGATAGAATCTAATGCAGAGTTTGAGAAGGACATCTGGGTACATGTTATCAGCTTACTGGTGGTATATGGAGGTATTAACAATTGAAAATTCAAAGCTAAAACAAGAAATAATAGATTCCTGAATATTTGACCTTGAGCATAATTGTTCTACATTTTAAAAGAAACTTCTAGGGATTTAAATGTTAGGAACGTAAAGCACATGCAAAAGTTTTTGTCAGTGTAGAAAACTGTGAATCACATAGAATTTTTACTACAGTTATACATTCCTCAAAATACCCAGTGGTACATTGACTTGAAGATTATGTCTGAGGTTTCATTTTCCAATTGAGGAAGCAAATCCTCATTTCCTAAGAATTATAGATGGATGAGATGAAGATCAGTACATTGATCAATCAATCAATCCACAGGTAGGTAGTCCATTCACAATTTGAACCACAAGATATGTGTAGTTATATATCAATTTTCCATGATAAGTATTTTGAAGTCTACTCAGTTTTCTAAGATGTCCTCATCCTGCCCATCTAATACTTTCCTTGACTCTGCTGTCTGCATTACTCATTTGTGTATCTTAATGTTAAACAATGGGTTGTTTTTCTCTCCCAAGGCCTAAGAAAAATGTCCTAAACAGTTACCAAAAAAATTAAGCTTTTATATGGGGATAATAATATTTGAAACTTAGAACATGTGTTCTTATTAAATATACTGACATTTTCCTTGTTTTTGTTTCTCTCCCTTTTCTTCATTCCTATTGAATGTGACTGCTCCAGGCGCAGGTAGGAGCTCTTAAACTTCATGATTCATAAAAGAGTGCTGCTGCTTGCTTTCTGGTTTACTTCTGATTTCTGAGAATGTATTTTTGCCCTACTGTTGTCTTGTATCTTTTACAGGAAAAAGAAAATGTCATATTTTCCATAAAATGTGTGTTCTGCAGCTGTTCCCTTTTTATTTCCTAGCATGCTACCTGTGTTTTCTCATTTTAGAATCAGGGCTTGAGGTGTGGGGGTGGGGAACACGCCTTACTTCACCAGCCTTGAAAAGGCAGTGACACCTCCTGCGAACGTTGTCATGCTTCTCAGAGGGAGAGCAAAGGCACAGTGGCTGAACGTGGGTGGCAGGAGTTTGCACTGAACGGATCTGTATTCAGTACAGTGTAGGAGGTTAAAAGGCTGGCCATCTGAGGATTAGGCAAGATGGCACTTCCCCTCAATGTTTCCCTTGCCCACAAGTTGTAAGGTAATGTTTTTCCCTGTAGTATTCAGTCATATTTTAATATAGCACCCAATGTGAATGCAATCACTTATGACAATAAGTATAGATTCATACTCCAACAGTGCACATTTTTTATTTGTCACTTTATTTGGGTGAAATCCACTAAAACACGCACAAAGAATAGCTCCAAAGGGCTATTTAAATCTGTATTTTCTGGAATTAGTTATATAAGACATTCATATGCCTTGTGTGTGTGTGTGTATGTGTGTGTGTGTAGAATAAGAAATAGAGTCAGATTATTATAGGTTTTGAAATGATGGAAGAAAACATTTTTTATAATGGTTGAGTCAGCTCTGTTGCAGTGGATTGTGGTCCATCTATTCCCTTTATTTAGTCATTCTTCTCATTGAGAAAAGCGAATAATTATTCATTGTTCTAAAAACCTGAAACCAAACAAACCACCTCAAACTCGGGGCTGACAGCCTTTGTGGATACCGGAGCACAGACAGTTTGCTCTGCTTCCTGTGGCCCTCACTGCTTCAGGCTGTAGCTGTGCAATATGAGACCAACTGCAGACTTTTCTTCCAAGCCCTAAATGATTGAGGGTTAGTTTGAAGATGGCTTTATTTCATGTTATTTAGCTTTTAATTTAGTTTCATAAATGGAACACAAAAGACGTAAGTTTTCATTGTTATACATATTTATTTGAGAAACTAACCAAATTATATTTATTGGAAACAGGTACTTTTATACACTTCATTCATTCATTCATTCATTCAACAAGTCTCTATTAAACACCTAACATATGAGTACCCAGGTAACTACTGAAGACACAGAAAACTGTAAACAAGACCAGTGGCCCAGTAAATCACAATACTGTGTGGTGAGGATCAGTGCAGGGAACTAGGTAACAGGTCAAATGTGGTCCAGCAGGTCAGAGCTACAACTGCAGCATAATAATGGAGGAGCAGAATACAACACAGCTAGCTCTGCCCTTCAGTACCAGAATGCTCAACAAACGTCTGTATGTTCATATTTTAGAATAATGAACAATGAAGGGGAGAAATAAAAGTAGCTAAAAAAAGAATATAGTGATTATTCAGATGTAGTCTTCCCACTTGTTCTCATCAGGCTCCTGAAATGAGTTTATTGAGAACGGTGTGTGTTTCAGGTCTATGAAGTCGTGCCTTGCCACAGTGACTGCCACCAGTACCTCTGGGTCACAGAGCCATGGAGCGTCTGCAAGGTGACCTTTGTGAACATGCGGGATAACTGCGGAGAAGGCGTGCAAACCCGAAAAGTGAGGTGAGGCCAAGCTGAAGTACCCAGAGAAGCCAAACACACAACACCTCCCAGTTTTACACCTGCCAACGTGAGCGTTCACACCTCCCCAGTCTCCTAAATAAATCTGTCTTTAGTTTTATTTTTAGGGAATCTGTGTTCATGGAACATTCTAAGAGGATCTGCTTCAAGCAGCGGTATATCCTACTCGGCTTTCTGATTTAGGCAGCTTCGCTTCAAGGTGCTTTTCTTGCAGGGAAAGAGTCTCATTGAATTCGAGCTGAACCAATGCCGATTTTCAACCCCAATAACTTTTTCCTTAAAGGCCAAATATATTTCTGACTTCCTTTCAGTGATAATCTGTTGTAAATTCTTGCTCCTTTATATCAAATTGCCCAACTTTTGAATACCCTCATCTGCTCCAGGAAGCCTTCTCCAAAACCCTGCTGGCTCGTGCCTCTCATGTTTTCTTCTACAGCCACACTGTCCAGTAGCCACTAGCCACATGTTTCTACGCTCAGTTTAAATTTAAACTAACTAAAATGAAACAAAATTTAAAATGTGTTTCCTCAGTTAACAGGAGCCATATTTCAAGGGTGCAATAGCCACGGGTAACCAGAGGCTGTTCTATCAGACAGTATTTCCACCATCACAGAAACTATTGCATTGTTCTGTACACCTGAAACTAACAATAAAAAAATTTAAAAAAGGAAAAAAAAAAAGAAACTTCTAATGAACAGCATTGCTCTGTGGCACCCCGTGTACTCTTCATTGTTTTGAAAAGATCCTTTTACATGTCTGTCACCCTTATTAAACCCCATTAAGTTTCTCCAAACTGACACCCTGTCATATTCATAGAAATTCCCGAACACATAATACAAGCTTGCTGCTCGTTAAATTTTCTCTACGGCATCTGCATCCAATCCCGAAGAGTTCTAGAACCTAGGAAACAAGTGTATGAGGTTTTATTATCTCCACTTTGTAGATTCGCAAGTACTAATTTACCAAGAACACACACTAGTAAATTGACACAGTTGGCATTCAAACCTAAGTCTTTTGTCATTCTTTTTAATTACCAGTTTCTTCTAACAATGCTGAGTGGCACACAGTAAAGACAATTATAAAAACATCCTGAGCTTGACAACTCATGTTTTGAAAAAACTCATTCAGACCCGTGGCTTAACTTTTCATGAGTTTAAGATTCAAATTTCTTTCTTTTGTTTTTTTAAATTAGTTTCAGGTGCACAAAACAATGTAATAGTTAGGCATTTTGCCCCTCACAAAGTGATAACCCTCCTCCCCCAGTCTACTAGCCCTGTGACATCATATATAGCTATTACAATCCCATTGACTCTATTCCCTATGCTGTAAGGTACTCCATATCAGATTCGAATTTCTTAATCTGTTTCAATAGGAAAGTAGAACAAATTAACATTTTTATTCTAAATATTTGACACACTAGGTATAACTTTGCTACTAATAAAAAAAATCTATTTCTTTTTTCCAAAGTCCGTCGAATTCTCAAGTTACTTTTCTGAGGCACTTAAAAAAAAAAGGTGGATGGGAGCAGGGGAGGTAATGAGTTAAGGAAATGTAAGAAAAGGCAGAGATTCTGTTTTCCACTCTTCTTCAAAATTTAAAATTTCTCCTTTAAGTTTAAAAATATTTTCCTGATATTAAGAATTTGATCAGGTTGGTTCTTTTGTTAGTAAAAAAATTATAATGAACTACTGTTCTTTCAACTTTCCCTTCAACTCTCTGTGTACATAGTTTTTTTTTTTGCTCTGTGCATAGATATTCTCAACATTTTCAAACATGCCCTAAATAAAGTAACTTTTCTGATCAACTTATTTTTTTCAGTAAACATCTTTAATGCATATAGAGAAAAGAGAAGGTCAACATTGATTGTGATCTCTGATCATGTAATAATGTTTCTTTATTGAGTGGTATACCTCCCTAACCTTATCCTCTGCTAATTAAGGTCAAAATGTCCTGCTTCGCTGTCAGCATTTGGTGATTTTTTAGGATACATGAGTCTGTAAAAGAGCAGGATTGAATATATTTGATCTCATTCTTTCTCTTTTAGGGTTGTATGACATATCAAAGGCTGAGTGATAGAAGTAGTTTTTTTGCCCTGGTGGAAAGAGATACTTTTCACTGACATTTTTTTGAAATTGGCAATGCATTATAATATTACAATAATAATAATAATAACAATAATAATAATGGTAAAGCAGATTGATTTGGTTATTTTTATTGTTGCTTTTGAATTCTCTGCAAACAGTGCACCCCTTATTGCCACATGTGTGGTGGGCCTCTGTCCCCACCCTTGGCCTCAACTTGATTCTACACTGTTTCCTAATACAGTTCAATTTTCTCACAGCATAATTCCTTTTCCTATGGAAAGGAGAAAGGTCAGGAATTTGAAGAAAACAAATGAACTTAATGTGCCTTCCTTTGGGCCCAAACTTTCATCCAAATATTTTGTATTCTAGAGTGATAAAAACAATCATTAATAAAAAATAAAATAAATAAAACATAAATAATCTGACTGTCAACAATAAAGGGTTTTTGGCTTTTTTGCAGTTGTGGCACATTCAAATGATGGGATTCAAATGTAGTCATTAAAAATTATATCTTAGAAAAATAGTTAATAACACAAGAGTGATGTCAATAATGTATTGTTGCTTTTTTTCTTAAGTGGTACAAATAGTAGGTAAAGTTTGTTCCTATTTAATAAAACGAAAATATGTTTAAGTATAATCGCCTGTTAAGAGTGGTTATCTCTGATAGAATTATCTGAAGTTTTTAATTTCCTCTGATTTTCCTAAAATAAATATATTACTTGCATAATAAAAATTAAAGAAAGAGAAAAGCCCTTGAAAATGAAGTTTTATGTACATAACTACTTAGTAGACTATTGACCATCTGTCCTTAACTCTGAATCAACAGGTAAATTTGCAAGTTAATCCTTCTGCATAGTGTCAGTCCCTGCCATGAGTGCAATCTCTTCTTAGCAGCAAATCCAAATTTGAGCATTGAACTGTCCTGTCTGTTCTATGTCCTTTCAAAACTGCTATCAACAGAACATTTTTATTGTTTTATTTTTTTTATTAGTTTCAGGTATACAAAACAATGTAATAGTTAGGCATTTACACCCCTCACAAAGTGATAACCCTCCTCCCCCAATCTACTATCCCTCTGACATTTTATATAGCTGTTACAATTCCACTGACTCTATTCCCTATGCTGTACTCCATATCCTGTGACTATATATATATATATTAAATTATAGTTGACATTCAGTATTATTCAGCTTCAGCTTCAGGTGTTCAGCGCAATGATCAGGCATCTACACCGTCCATGAAGTTGTCTCCCTAATAAGACAAATGCCCATCTGATACCCTACAAAATCTTTACAACATTATTGATTATATTCTCCAAACTGTGTTTCGTATCCCCATGGCAATATTGTGACTACGAATTTGTACTTTCTAATCCCCTCACCTTCTCCTTCATCTCCACCCCCCTCCCAACTAGCAACCATCAGTTTTTCCTCTATGTCTCTGAGACTATTTCTGTTTAGTTTGCTCATTTATTCTATTCTTTAGGTTCCACATATAAGTAAGATCATATGGCATTTGTCTTTCTCCATCTGACTTATTTCACTTAGCATAATTATTCTCTAATTCTCATAATTGTTCTCTGGGTCCATCCATATCATTGCAAATGGTAAGATTTCCTTCTTCTTTTTGGCTGAGTAATACTCCGTTGTATGAAAGTACCAGTACCACAGAACATTTTTAAAAGGCCATTGAAGGTAGAACTTCTTCCCAGGAAATTAAAATTCTCCCAAAGAAATTTATAATTTATTTTTTTCTTTCAACAATGAAATCAAATAAATACCTACCTTTGTGTGTTTTGGTGATTGCTCTTTTATGTATTTATCCAATTTACAAAAAAATATATAGAGATGGGTATTTGTATAGATATTTTTTCAGGCTACAAGTTGAATTAAGACATGACTAACAGCACATTTTCTGACTGCATCCCACAGGAAAAAAGACATTTCTCTTAAATTCGGCAGCATTGTATAGAAAGGTTATTCGGCAGAGTAGATATATGAAGATGCAATGTCTCCCACTGATTGTAAATTCCTGGGGGGAAAAAGTTGATATTTGAGGTATAGTTTTAATGTAATTCAAGTGACCGTTTAAAACATTGTAATGGGTTTGATAGGAGTAAGAATTCAAGCTGCCTTCTTCGTCTCCTGCAGTGCATTTCTCTTCCCAAACCCATTAATTTGGTTGACCTTCTCCAAGTTACAGATGAGGGATGAAGATTTTCTCTTCTACTAGAAAAGTGCCCAAAGATATTATCAGCTATGGTAAAAGTGAAGGCTGATACTACCCACATTAGTTAGATGCCTAAGAGGTGAGTTAACAGCTCTTCATGACTGCTTATTAGAGTAAAATGTAATAAAACGTTTGAATTTGTTCTGTTAAAAAGAATACTAACAATAAAAAAGGTCAAGATATAGGACGATCCAAACAACCTCATTTAGAGAATTTGTGCTACTATTATTCTTGTTTTTTTGCTTCTTGCTTTTCCGGGTATCAGCACATGAGAGGCCAAATAACATTTTAAATGACAAAACAATTTGACAAATGTCATCAGTTACTTTCCAAAGCCCTTCATGAAACCTCTCACTAGGAGATTTTAGTGTGCCTCATCTTGCATCGTATATGAATCTACCTTCTCTACAGAATCCGCCATTTTCTTCAGAAGAAAAAATAAATGCCTTATATTCCAAAATTACAACCCCTCTGTGCATCTCTTTGGACCACTCCCCATTAGTGTCTGCATCATACATGAGTGTAAATTACCCTTCCTTTCAGAGGAAGACATGCAGAGTTTACATACACACAGTGGTTATAATTTTTAAAGATTGTGGTGATATACACAAGCATAAATTTTAAAATCATACTGAAGCTCTACACATATTTATGGGAGGCAGTGATCCTTTTATGTCTCTACATTTGAAGAATTTTATTCATGAAATGCAAATCTTTCCACCCCCTCCCCCAACCCCATGATGGCATCTTAAGACTAACCATCTATCCTGTGGGTTGGACTTTGTTCTAACTGCCCTGGTTTCTTCACTGATAGGTATGTTTTCTTGTAGATGCATGCAGAACACAGCGGATGGCCCTTCTGACCAGGTAGAGGATTACCTCTGTGACCCAGAGGAGATGCCCCTGGGCTCTAGAGAATGCAAATTACCATGTCCCGAGGATTGTGTGATATCCGAATGGGGTCCGTGGACTCGGTGCACTTTGGTGAGATGATTAGCCATTTATTAATATAGAGTTTGCTTCATGCCTTACCATTAAAGCTTTAAAGACATTATTAAGAAAATCATAGTTACTAAATTAGTTATCAAAGCAAAGTGTGTTTTCTTGGCTACTTCATTCTATAAGTGTGCCATTTAAAGTCATCAATGTTTCGACTCACACTAGAACAGCTTGACCTCCTGCAAGCTATATACTCCTCCAGCATCCTCCTAACCCAGCACAAAACACCTTCAGATTGGCTTATAAATACACAGCAGGTGAAGAACTGCAGTGGTGATAATAACTTCCTCCAGGTAAAGGGACAAAGAACGGAGCTCTAGTAAAGGTACTTTAATGGTGTCAGGTTATTGTCATCTCTTGCTTTTTGCCCAATCCATTTTATTTAAATTGTAGGAATAATCTTTCACACAGTGGGGGTTCTGCAGCAGGAGTATTGACACTGAAGTGCAAAGGATCCTGAAAGGAAAGGAAGTAGAAAGAAGAAAGCTGTGCGGCAATGAATCTTTTTCCACACACTGATTCTGTGTCTCTTTGGGCCTGGGAGGCCAGCTGAGAGTTTCAAATCACACAAAGCTTCTAGATTTCAGCAGCCCATAGGGGTTCCTCCATGGGACCCTGGGAAGAGAGTCGTTTGAAACAGAACTGGCTGATGATGTAGAAAATTGGGTTTACCCCGGGCACCTTTGTAAAGCTGCACATTTCAAAATGGCATCAAAATCATGGGGGAAACACATGCAGTGTGGAATTAATTTGCTGAAATACACTACAGAACCCTTTCAGAGAATTTATGATGCATGTTTTCAAGGAAAAATTAATTTTGTATCTCAGTGTTAACATTACTAAAGGTGATGATTAGAGCCAGCTGATACAGCAGGAGCAAAACGGGCTGCCAGTTGATTTGGATACAGATTAAATTGTAGTAAGGAATCAACTTTCACAAGGGTATGCAAATGATTTTCTATTCTAATTCCGTAACATCGGATTTGAAGTCACTGCTTCTGTTCTTAGAAACTAAATGTTTTCAGAACAAGACAGTAGCAGGAGGAGAATGGCAAGCCAGTCCTTTGAAGTGCTAAATTGTGTTTGTGTGCATGTGTGTTAGGAAATAAAGGTCACTAAGGAACAGCTAGTTATTTAACCGTTTTGGGGTCCAAGAGATTAGATTAGATTAGATTAGATTAGATTGATAGCAATTTCTGTATTAGTAATCTACAATAAATAATATGACCACATGTATGTTTGTGTACATGTGATGTGATGTATTTGTTAGTATTTAACACACAGGCTCTTAAGCATCTTATAGCTAGATGGGACATCAGAAACTCACCCACCACTTTGATCTTATAGATGAAGAAACTGAAGCGTAATGCAATTGTTCAAGTTAGCCAGTGGCCCTGAGTCCTAACTCCTGCTGCAGTGCTCTTCCTAACACATTAGCCTTTGTGTGGCTGAGTTGTATTCTGAGGAGTTGTATTATTCTTTGTCAGCCTTGTAATCAAAGCAGTTTCCGGCAAAGGTCAGCTGATCCCATCAGACAACCTGCTGACGAAGGAAGAGTCTGCCCCGATGCGGTTGAGAAGGAGCCCTGTAACCTGAACAGAAATTGCTTCCACTATGACTATAATGTAACAGGTACGTGGATAGTCTTCTCATCGCAGAGGTAAAGGCCAAACCCCGTGTCTGTGGGCTCAGTGTGTTCCCGTAAATATTGTTCATCTCCATCTGTGTGCCTTTTGGACATGCTGCATACTCTCCCAGGAATAATCCTTTATTATGTCATGGAAATATTTATCTGTTTTATTTTTAATAAACATTAAGATATAGATAATGAAAATATCACACAAACATAACCCTTAAGGTAGATTGCGAACAGTATAAGTGATCCTATTTAAGACATCCTCCCACTTTGGGAAGGTGCAAATAAAAGATGTTTCCCAGGGGTATCAGGTTTATTCAAAAATGTTTCATGGCTACAACATAGTGGGACATCAATTCTTTGTGCAGCATGTAAAAATGTCAGCAATTTTAAGCTTGCCAAAAAGTATATAAAGAAAATCAAATTATTTCAATATTATCAAAAGTACAGATAAAAATGGATAAATGAAGTGGTTTTTTTTGTTTTTGGTTTTTGGTTTTTGTTTTTTGGGGGGTTTTTTTGTTTTTGTTTTTGTTTTTGTTTTTGTTTTTTTTTTTGTTTTTGTTTTTGGTTTTTTTTTTTTTTTTCAGAAAAAAAGGCTTATTATAAATTCCATTTTTTTCCCTAACCCTCACCTCACACCATCAAGGCACATAATCTAGGAAAGAAGAGAATTTGTTATATATGATTTGGGCAACACTGAAGCTTATTTGGGGATTTTTCCAAGTAATTTTCACACTGAAATAAACTCCAGAAATTGTACAATGATATGCAGCAGATTGGCTTTTGTTTCTTTTGGTTTTTCTCTTCAATTTTCTTTGATGACACAAGGAAATCAGAGTTTTCTGGGACACTCTATGTTACTTGAAAAAAAAATGAAATAATTATTTTGCAACAGACATAAAATAAAATAATTAAATAAATATGGCCAAAGTGATTTTGAAGTAAATGTACGTTTTTCAAACATTCTAAATATGAACACTCAGTGAAATAGTGTTTTATTTGACTATAACACAGTTAAAGTACCATCCATTAAAATTATGATTATTTTACTAAAACAAATGTTAAAATTGAAATTTCTGCTTTTTTACGGGAAAAGTTTTTAAGTCGCATTTGATCTGCAGGCCAAAGCCATTTTTACAATATTGCCAAATGGCAATCAAGATTGTCAAGTAGACATCTGCCTTCCAGAATAATCCCTGTAGCTATGTGCAACCCCAGCAATTCCTTTTGACTCCTGATATGTTCAAAGCCGGGACCCATATGCTCTGCATGTGGGATGATTGATTGTGGGGCTTAGGAAGCAGTTGTGAATTAAATATGGGATTCAGGTCATCAGAGTTCCATTTGAAATCTGTTTCATACGTGGCCTTCTGTTCTGACGGGCTCCCTTCCTTTCAGACTGGAGTACATGCCAGCTGAGCGAGAAGGCCGTTTGTGGAAATGGCATTAAAACCAGGATGTTGGATTGTGTTCGAAGTGATGGCAAGTCGGTTGACCTGAAATATTGTGAAGAGGTGAGGGGATGCTGTGTTATATCTTTGTGAGTAAATTCTTTCCTAATAATTCCAATTCATGCTGAGCCGAGTGACCTGTGCTCCATGTAGCTCATCGCCAGCAGATGTTTTTCTGCACTATTTAGAGGCTGTTAAGCACCCTCTTGAAAAGAGACACTGTCCAACACTACTGATTTCTACACATAATTTCCTGTATTTTGTTCTGCTCGGAGCCCAAAGGTATGCTAATTAGCCTTTTTTGAAAGAAATGCTCAGGGAACAATAAGTAATCAAGGTGATAAATCTTAATCAGACTACTCATCATCTTTGTAATTTCATGTGAATTTTGTGTTGCCTGGGACACCTGCCAAGATCCATCATTCATTCTCTCTGTTGCTAAACATTGATCGCATGTGGTTTTGTAGCAGATTTTGATATTAGGATCTAATACCCAGCTGTGAGAGTCTAAGTACTCAGGTGTGGAGAAGAGAGAGATTGAAATTCAAACAAAGGAATGGATGGAGTCTGCCATTAGTATCTTTTAGATAGAGAGAATTGAAACTGTTAATTCTCCAATTTACAAAAGTAATAGCCACATTTCTAGATATGACCTTATAAAATGTGAGGGATACAGTTTTTGGCATTTCTTGGTTTTCATGAAGCTACATTTCAGGTTGTAATTATTTTATCTGATTTCCATACCAAAAGGGTACTCACATTCCCAACAGTTTTTGACTCCTGCATCGGAAGCCCACAGGGGTTAAACATGAACCAAGATAAACAGGAGCCTTAGTAGATCTAGAACACACAGGCAGAGCCTTGTTAGATCTACTGAGCACACATTAGGGCTCAGTAGACATGATACCTGCGACTTCTGTCTGCACATCCTGGGGGTTATTATAAGCCCATAATAAACAGTTCCAACTCCTAAGGGAAAACTCGAGATGCAAACATTTTAATCCATTTGATATCTTTATCATGTGGACCTAACTTGTGTTCCTTATATCTGTCCATGTGAACAGAGCTCCCAAATGTGCTGAAAACAGGTTGTGTAGTTGATAAATTTCCCCCACTATCATCTCATAACATAAATTAGTATATTCATACTTTAGATTTAATTAGAAATTTTATACCTGAATCAATTTGGTTTTGAAACTAATAACATTGAAGTAATGTAACCATTATAAAAATATCATTATTATTAATAAACATTATTATAGTCAGATACTGGCTGGAGAGCTTTCTACTTCTAGTTGATTACTATGTCTCTTTTCTTGCAAATGCACATATAAAAGCCCTCCTGGGTCAGAATGAAATACAAAATGAATAGCTCTAAGAGCTTTTTGAGCACTTAACCCAAGTCATAGAAAACCAATTTTAAAATAGCTCGTATAACTACAGGACCAAGGTATAAATAGGGTCTTTTTATTTTTTAAATGAAATGTGAGTAAAAACCTGACATATAACTAATTTTAAGTATCCATGTGACTAGATCAATTCACTCTTCTGTAAATATATTATGTTTGAAGACTGTGATGGCAATTAGAGATTTAAATCGTAACATTCTAGCAAACATTGTCTTCCGGGAGAACAGCGCTACTCTCTGCAGGAATTAGATTAAACAACCCATCTGCCATTTTATCCATCCCCATGGATGCAGTAAGATTAAATAATAGCCCTTAGAAAAGCAGGCTATCTTTTTAACAATGGATTGATTGTCTGCCTACTAATACATGTGTAAACCCTGCATGCAATGCAACAGTAGCTAACTCTTGCTGTTCCTCTAACAGCCAAAGGGAGAGATGGCATTACTACCCAACAAAGAGGAAAATTGGGGTTAAACCCATCAGCATCTATGTAGTATTTTTGTCTTTGAAGTTTTTCAGACATTTACTCACCTGATACCTAGTCATTGATTTCTCCTTTCCTGTCCTTTGATCCCTGGACAGATTTCTTTTCATTAGACACATATGTTTAGATAGATGATAGATAGATAGATAGATAGATAGATAGATAGATAGATAGATAGATAGATACGAGAAAATAAAGACATACAATAAACATAAGGAAAAACGTAGTATGGGGTTAAAAGTTTTACTACTGGATATAGATTATTTGTAAATAGACATCATTTTTAATTTTAAATAAGTCAGTAGTAATTCAATCCTGTGATTCAAACCCTCTCTCTCTGAAACTATCAATAGTATCTACCTTATGTAGATAATAGTAACACATCATTTGTATCATATCATCTTGTTACTCTAATCTCCAACCTCCCATGACTTTAAACTACTTTATGAGAATTTACTTAAGTGATATGGTAAAAGTTTTCATACCAAATACCCATCTTTGTCAAATGTTACTGATGGAGAATAGAATGGGAGTGCCTGGAGAGGGATGTAGTACACATATCATTCATCTGTCCTCCTCTTAGTGGATAACTTAGAGCCCAGAGCTGCACTTGAACCACATAACATTTCAGGAATGTTTTCTTTTGCCATCTTCTGATATATGAATTATACACCATAAACCTCTCCCTCATGCAGAAAAAAAAAGGTCTTGAAAATCCCAATGATTACCAATTTAAAAAATTGTATTCTAACATGCTCTTAAACTTTTCTATCTCAATGCTACTTTGTCCCTTAGACTTTTTTAATGTCTTCATATACAGTAGATGAATTTGAAATCTCATCTTAATATTTTAAAAGTAGAATACTTAAATAAGTATTGGAACTCAGTGCCAATAAAATGGCACAATGTATTATCTGATGAGGGGCTGATGCTAAAATAACTGAATTATATCATAGTTAGCTTCTGAGATTAGCTTTAGAAGAAAAAAATTCTTTGTAATTAAAACATGTATATTAAACATTCATAATAAAAAAATCTAGTGATCCAGATTTACTTTTGAGAGAGATAGTGTACTTAGAAACTGATATTTTATATTATTTTAATAATATTATATTATTAGTTTTGAGTGGCAATTTGTCTTTAAAACCTTCCCCTTTTGCTTTCCTGTTTAACCTGCACTTATAAAAATAAGCAATATCCCAAAGTTTCAATTTTAGATCTATATATTGACGGTATTCTTGGTTTTTAACTAATGGAAAGTAATCATGCTTGTACTTATTTGTTCCTCATTTAGGGAAATGCAACTAATTTGGAGATTAAATATTTTTTCATTGCTTATTTTAAAAGTTCAACACTATATAAGTGTGTCAAATAAATGTGTTTCTTCATTTATCATGTACCCTTTGCTTCCACTCTCCTGGGTTGATCCACTTTATATTTTTAACAGTTTGAGTGCTTGTCCTCCAGATACTTTTTTATTCTGTTATGTGTCTTACTTATTCTCCCTCTCCTTTCTTCTCCTTTCCTTTCATCTCCACTCCTATCTTCTCCTTTCTTCCCCCCTCCTCCCATCAGCAATCCTTCATAGTCATGCCTTCATATCAGTACAGATGTGTACCTCTCTCCTTTCAGCTTGGCCTGGAGAAGAACTGGCAGATGAACACATCCTGCATGGTGGAATGCCCTGTGAACTGTCAGCTTTCTGAGTGGTCTCCCTGGTCCGAATGTTCTCAAACATGTGGCCTCACAGGTGAGTGTGTACCTTAATTAGCATGAGGCTAATGGTCAAAGAATAAGAAATAAAATGTCCCTCTTTCTTTCAGTCATATCAGATAATCTTCAGAAAGGTTGAATCAGGGTGCCTTTCTTTCCAAAACATCTGAGACTTCTTTGTTCCTCAAATCTCCTCAGGGGAAATGTCTGTGATGCGTTCTCCCAGTAAGATATGTGCTTGCACAATTATATCAGTAAAGCTGCCTCCCTTTGCATCTCTTAAAGGAAAAATGATCCGAAGACGAGCAGTTACCCAGCCCTTTCAGGGTGATGGAAGACCATGCCCTGCCTTGATGGAACAGTCCAAGCCCTGCCCAGTGAAGCCCTGTTATCGATGGCAATATGGTCACTGGTCTCCATGCCAAGTACAGGTATCAGACCTCAAGAAATTGTATGGAATGCACATTCTCTATCTGCAGAGACTTGGCTTTAGAATTATTGTTCAGAGCTTGCATGCATTATGTTGCCTCTTTAATATTTTAGGTACCTTGCCATTTCATCACTGCTTAATTAATTTTGATAACAAGCACTCCCTGTCCTGTATTTTTAAAATCATTTGGAGACAGATTCATTTTAATGAAAATGCATTTGTCTGTCTTTGGCTAGGAAACAAATAAATTGTTCACTGTATGCTTTAGAGCCAGTGCCCTATAGGACTTCTTCCCTAGGGTTTCAAATGCTTCTTTAGCTGCTCATAAATCAAAATCAGTGGTGCAGAGATGACTGGAATTGATGAGTTCACTAATGAATTATTTTTTCTTTCCCTGATTAGTTATTTCTTCCTTCATTCCAGGATGCTGAGTGTGGAGAAGGGACCAGAACAAGAAACATTTCTTGTGTAGTAAGTGACGGGTCAGCTGATGATTTCAGCAAAGTAGTGGATGAAGAATTCTGTACTGATGTTGAACCCATTATAGATGGTAATAAAAAAACGATCTTAGAGGAAACCTGCACTCAGCCTTGCCCAGGTAACAGCAGCAAAACAGAGTTCATATTTTGGTTATTTCTTAACAGGACTGGCGTCAAGAAGGGGTTGCACATGTAGTCTAAGTGAAAGAATGCCAGCACTCTTCTCATTCAGTAATATCTGTGCCAGTAGCTAGATGCTGCAGTGTGGGTGAATGGAGGACACCGCCTCCTTACTGCCAGGTGGGGGTGAAGCCCAGGTCTCCCGTGTGGCTAATGCTGACACATACACCCCTGAAGTTTTAACATCTGCAGGGGATGGCACATAAGGCCTTAGACTCATGCTTGACAGGGAAAGTATGAAAGGAAAGTTGAGAAAATAAGGATAGAACATACATCTGTTTAGGATTTCCAGAAGGGAAGAACAGGAAATAAGAGAGAGGCAGCATTTAAACACATAATAGCAAGAGAAAAATGTAAGTCCTAATGAGAGCTTACTCTGGACCCTGGATAGATTCAACAACAAATTCATACCTAGATACACTGTAGCTAAAACGGAAAATGTCGAAAAATATAGAATTATTAAAGCACTCAGAGAGAAAGGAACAGATTACCTGTTTTTGGAAGACAAAATTAGAATGATAGCAGAATTCTTCTCAATTCCAATGAAAGTCAAAAGACAATGGAATATTCAGTCATGTGTCTATATGTAAATGCATTGTTAGGAGATTTTGTTGTGAGAACATCATGGAGTCTACTTATACAAATCTAGATGATATAACCCACTACAAACCTAGACTATATGGTATAGCCTATTGCTTCTAGGCTACAAACCTATATACCACGTTACTATAAGAAATTGTAACAGGCATTTACAATGGCATATACAGGCATATACAAATGCCCGAATGGCATTTGTATATCTAAACATATATAAACATAGAAAAGATTCAGTAAAAGTACAGTATAAGTGATTTTAAATGGTACACCTATATAATGCACTTACCATGAATGGAGCTTGCAGGATGGGAAATTGAGCTGGATGAGTCAGTGAGTGAATGTGAAGGCTTAGGGTATTACTGTAGACTTTATAAACTCTCTCCAACAAGCTCTCCCCCGGCTTCCTTGTGACCGGGTCAAACATAGAATATCGAAGCTGTCAGTGCTGCTCCCTGAAGAGGGATGTGAGCCACGTCGACTGGAAATATCAAGGAGAAACTGGCTGCGCAAAGCATAGGAAGCCATGATATTGAGACTGTCCAGAGCGTATGAAAGGTGGCCTGAGGATTAGTAGGAATAGAATTCAAGATGAGATGAAGGAACACAGGGGATTGTCATGGCAATGTGGTTTTGGCTATGGGATGTTGGAGCAGTGGTCAGATTAAGTAACCCTGTGAATGAGAATGTTTAACATGTTTAACATGAAGAGGGTGTAGAACTGAGGACGCACTATTTTGACTTTGGAAGTTTGTTTTGGGTTCCATTGACCCTGTCAGGCATAAAGGGCTCTCTCTGGCATTGAATTGAAGAAATAAAACTTATCTATGCTTTATATCATTACAACCCCAAAATATGTCCAAAGTACAGGGACAGGCTGGCTCCACACTACCACAGGAAGCTGTCACTAAAGCGGCAGTGGCACTTAATACTTGTTAAAAGATAGCTCCTGTGGACCTGTGTCCTGGTATAGGATCTGAGGTCCTCAGAAAAGAACTTACAGCAGTGCACTCTGAAGACCATAGGGGTAGATCTGCGAGGGCTGTAGCACCCTGTGAATAAGCAGCACTAGGGGGACAGGCTCCTTTGTGCTGAAACAGGTCAGTGTCTGACTGATGGAGATGTAATCTGTGCCCTCAAAACTGAGGTGCTGTGAGTGACACGGAATCTATTGCCAAGTCCCACAGATATTGCTCCCATCAGAGAGGGAAAAACTTCCTCCTGAACCACATATCCTTCCATTTCTTACAGGAAATTCAGCTCCATTGTAATCTTAGGGGACCAGCGTAGTATATGTGGTCCATCGTTGACCAAACCATCGTTATGCGGTGCATGACTGTATTTGAAATACGATGGAAAATAATCATCAACCTAAAATTCTATCCCTAGCTAAATTATTATTCAAGAAAAAATAATAATAATATTACAGAATAAAACATCGAAAGAAAACATTCTGATGCAATGTTTGACAGAAGGGGAGCATGCAGTAAAATGTGAAAACCAAATGTTATATATTAAATAATATAAAACTAATTGCCAAACAGCAATAAACTAATATTTAGGAATTTGGGTTGATGCAGAGAACTTTAGGATAAAGGGTCAAAATAATCTCAATGACAAGTATTAGCCTAAGGCCTTGAGAAAGATATGGGGGCAACAGTTTATTAGTGAACTAGAAAAGAACAAATTTGGAAGTGAATTACGTATATTTTGCCCTCAAGTGGAAAATGTTTATTCTCCCAATTTGCTTAAAATTACAATAAGTAAAAATATATCTGTTTAAGAAATGTGTTATTTCAAATAAGATCACAAAAAATAAAAAATAAAAATGAGGATCTGGCAAACAAATACTGAGTGGACATAAAATATACTGTCTATATGAAAATGATATCACTTAAAAAATTTTAGAAATGGATAACTTATGTATTTTTCTTTTAACTTTTAAATGGGGCTAAGTTCCTAAAAGCTGGAAGAGCTGACAGCATGGGTTGCCCATTCATTCACTCATCGATTTACTTATTCTTTAGTAAGTAAATTATTTGAGGCAATAATAATGGTAGTTTCTATAGTTGATTATTAAGATAAACTGAATAAATTAAACAGAGCAATAAATAAAATAGCCCCTGATGCTTTGAATTCTATGCTAGTCTTTGAGTATATTCCTCACTGTGTGTATGCAGCTGTAAAAATAGATTTTGCACACACTGATATTTTCAGCTACTAAGGTTAAGAAATACATTCTTTTCTTAAATCTGACTTTCTGAACCTAGACGAAGTATTGCTCCTTAGACATTCCCACATCTGCCAATAATAACCTTTTCCTGATCCAGCAATTATCCTGTTTTATTTCCTGTCCCTGCAAACTAGCCTGATTTCAGTCTAGATCTCACAATCCAATTATTACAATTATTTCGCTTCACAGAAGACTGAGGTTGGGCTGTGGCAACAGAGCAGGGCTGTGGACATGGCCAGGGACTGAACCTTAGGGCTTTGATATGTTGAACAGCCACATGATCAACAAAAGTTGACTGAAGCTAAAAATTGGGAAAACTACCTATTCCAAAACCAAATCTCCAGTGCCAATAATAGGATCCTTGTGACACCCATGACATTGAGCAGACCTGGAATCCTTGCCAGGCATTGGCATATGATTTATTGTGGAGTCTCCCCACATGTTTTCATTATACTTCCCGCAGCACAGTCACCCATTTATTTATTATTATTATTATTATTATTATTCAAGCATTATTGTAGGCTAGGCCCTGGGCTCAAGGTTGTAGAAACAGTGGGAGACAAACATACCCTGTCCTCATAGAGTTTACCTTCTAATGGAAGGTTCAGTTGCTAATGTAATAGTCACATAAATAAACATAAGATTAAAATCTGTGGTAAGCCATGCAAAGGAAAACTGCAAGATCTCGTAATAACAGAACAGGGCAAACACACCATTCTAATTCATTACAAATCCAGGAGGAGGCTGCTCTTCTGTTATAAATTGCAATCTATTCATTTCAGTTTCTCTCTTGATAGTTATCTCCAATGATGGGTTTTGAGAGCTAGCAACATGTGAGCTAATAAGCATTGAAGAGTGAAATACTGAAGTATGGAATGCATTTTATACTCTTAATTGTCATATCTTTGACAGGCATAGTATAGTTTTATTATTACAATGGTTTATAGAATCAAAATATAAAAGTATCTTTAGTACAAGGCAATGCCTCGTTCTCATTTGCTGTTATTAAATCTTTGAAGCCTGACATGGATTATTTGGGGGTGATTATTATATAATTCACAGACTACCATTAAAATATTTATTGAGGTTTTTGTTTTATTTTACAAAACACGCTATGTCAAGTGATATAAGCACAGAGATAAAGCCTTCTAGTAAAAAAGATTTGTTTTATTTCCATGTAGTTTGCAATCCCTGAGGCAAAGTTATACTCTATTCATATTGACAATAATTTTTTTAATTTTAATAGTTTCTATTGCATAATTTAAAACTGAGTAACCCAAAAGTAGCAATTTCTAGGGGATACATATTTCTAAAACATTCTTAGACTACTTAAAAATTCATACTAATTTCTTTCTCCTTAACACTTCCAAAATTTATGAGAATTTTCTGCACTTCAGCATGACATTAGATAGAGTATTAATGACACACTATAATAAAAGTCTACAAAAACTCATTCCACTTTACTATTGTATATGTATCAGCTAGTCAATCATTCATGTCTTTGTAGCACAAGAATCATAGCACAAGAAGTTTTTTCATTAATCAAATATCCAGGAAACTTTGTGATAATATTGGACAACTTCAGCATAATATAAGGCAGTATGAATTATTCATGTGATATGCCTGGAATAATTAAAGTGATAAGAACCTCTGTGGATTTGTCAATCATAATTTACTGTATCCCCTGAACAGTATCACCAAGCAGTCAGTCCTGAAGAATGGATGTGTATATGGGAAAGGTGTATTTCATTAAATCTTCCCTGTTCTCAAAATGATTGAAGATGTCTATGTTGAACATGTACATAATATACCATGTCCCAGCAATTACACTCCTAGGTATATAACCAATAGAAATGCATATATATAAATTCACCAAAGGATTTGTACTAAAATGTTTACAACAGCAGTATTCATAATAGAAAAAAATTTACAACTCCCCACATTCTCATCAATACTAAAATGGATATCTAAATTGTGGTAATCCATATAATGAGAGTAAAGTACAGCAAAAGAATGAACAAATTAGAACTACATGCACAGATGATGGATCTCACAAACAAACATAAATGAGTGAAAGAAGCCAGATGCAACAAAAAGAACATATGGTACAATTCCATGCATAGCATGAGGGGCGTTTCTGAGATTCTGAGAATGTTCTGTTGCTTGATTTGGATGTTAGTTACATGAATATATAATCAGGTTGTGAAAACTCTGCTATCTGCTTTTATGATATGTGATCATGTTGCATGAATATTATTCTTCAGTCTATAATTGACAAAAAGGGAAAGTTGACTGAAGATGTAGATCAGAGGAAATGGCATGCATTATTGCCACTACTGCAGCTGCCCAGTTGACACCTTCACACCTCTGGGAAGACATAGAAATTAAACAAAAATACCAGATTTCTCAGACTGGGACTTCAAGCCCTTTTGAAATTATGAATACCTAGAAGGCAAGTTTGATCTATATTTAGATTTTCTTGGGATAGTACCAAGTACTTAATAAACCCCTTTACAATGATAATGACAAGAGTAGTAGGTTTTAATCAAGTATTTGTTATCTCTTAAGAGGAAAGGAATCATAATGGACAAGCTCCTTCAAGCAATAGTTTTACATGTGATATCATAAAGTAACACATAGTCTATACGAGTAAAATCCACTTAGAATTCTAATAACCATATTAATACAAACCTTATAAAGCTACATACATCTTGCAAATATTAAATACTCACCTAAATCTTACAAATACCATGTATGACTGGCGTACCTACAAACATTGCCTGTGGGGTTAAAAATAAAATGACTATCTGGCTGGCTATTCTTTATGGGTGTGGGTATAAACTACACACCTGTGTTTTACAGGTGACTGTTATTTGAATGACTGGTCTTCATGGAGCCTGTGTCAGCTGACCTGTGTGAATGGTGAGGACCTAGGTTTTGGTGGAATACAGGTCCGTTCCAGAGCAGTGATTATACAAGAACTAGAGAATCAACACCTGTGCCCAGAGCAGATGTTAGAAACAAAATCATGTGATGGTAAGTGCTACAATTTATGAAATCTACTCATTTTAGTTTCATGTTGATAAGCAAAAGCACAAGATACATAATTTTCTGTTAAATAAGCAGATTTGCCAAGATCTCACTTAAGGCTGAGAATTAATTTAAGGGATATGATCCTGAATTTTAAAAATTTAGAGGAAGAAAAATCTTGCCACCCTTCATAAATTAGATATGAAATATCGTGAAAATTTTTCCCAGGTTTATAAACTAAAGAAAGCTGAGTCAATTAGGAACACATTATTTGTATACTTATAGCAATCCTGGTCACGTATGAATCTAATATTATCCTCAATTTTTAAACATCAAAATAACGAATCAAAAATTACAAATCCACAGCAAAAAGAGATTTTACCAAATTATAAATTGATAAATTAACTCTTGATTTATATTAATTAATTGGTTTATATTGATAAGATTTACTCTAGACAGGGAAGAAATCCAAGATGGCAGAGTCAATAAATGCTGTCCTTACCTCATCTTGTGAATACATCAAAATTACAACCAAATTACAGAACAGTCTGGAGAACCATCTGAAGTCTAGCTGACATAGATTTTATAACTAAAGATATAAAGAAGTCACATTGAGTCTAATAGGAGGGGCAGAGATGCGAAACAGCCTGGCCCCAAACCTCCCTGTGGCAGTTGAAAATCATGAGGGATATCTCAGCCACGGAGGTTCCCCCAGAGGAGCGAGAGACACCAGCCCCACATCAGGTTATCTGCCTGGAGTACTGGTGCCAGGAAGAGGAGCCCCCACAATCTGGCAGTGCAAAACAGTGGGGATTCCAGTCATCTGGGTTGGATGGAAGGCTGCAGGGAAACCCAGAGACCTTTTAAAGGGCCTGCACACAGACTCATTTGATTGCAAGCACTCACCCTGGGCTCTGGTGAAGGGACATTGACTCAGGGGGCATCAGAGACATACACGACAAGATTGAGTTGTGTGGTTTCAGGAGGAGGACTGGAGGGACATTTTACTACATTAGGCCATTTTCCATTGTGGGAGAAAGGGAAATTTGTGCAGCCCCAGGCAGTGCCATTTTTTCTGTGTTGAGCCCTCTCAACGTGCCCATGGCCAAATGTAAATCTGAATTGGTCAGGTGAGCTCCACTCTGGTGACTCACTGAGACCCTGCCACACCCATCTCTATACCTCATGAGGCTCTATCAGCAACTGAGCCTTACAGTAACTAGCAGCTGGCAGCCCACTTTGGAGTGTCCTGGCTTTTTGCAGAGTTACTCTAGGCCTGGTACTGGTGGCAGCCATCCTTGGTTTGCAGCATGGCCTCTTCCACATGCCTCCAGATTCAGAACACAGAACAGCCAACCATGGATAGCTGTGTATCTCTTACTAGGTAGTCCCCAGCTAGTCACAGGCAGTGGCTGACCTTGGCCTGTACCAGAGCCCTGCCTCCCCCAAGAAGCACCAAAACCAACATATTTGGAGGTTCGCTTCAGTACACAACAGAGCTCAACTCAATTAGTATCACAAGTGTCACACACAAAGGGAAGTCTCAGCAGGCACCAGAGCCTGCTGGGGCAAATCCTGCTTCATGGGATAAGCCCCCACACAGCATCACATAAGCTATGGACATGGCCAAATCCTACAGCCAGTCAGCCTGAGGGTCAGTCTCATCCACTGATGTACCAATAGCTATCAAGACTCAACTATAACGGGAAGACACACTCAACCCACACAAGGGACACTCCCAGAACACATAGCTCAGGTGACCAGGGAGACTGTGCCACTGGGCCCTAAAGGACACCTACTACATTAGGCCACTTGGCAAGACTGGGAGACATAGCAGATCTATGTCAGAGAGGCAGGCAAAATGAGGAAACAAGGAGATAAATTTTAAATGAAAGAACAGCAGAAAACTCCAGAAAAAGAGCTAAACAAAATGGAGGCAAGCAACCTATGAGAGACAGAGTTCAAAGTACTGGTTATAAGGATGCTGAAGGAACTTAGTACGAACTTCAACAAAGACATAGCAAGCATAAAAAATATATAAACCATAAAAAAAGAACCAGTCAGAAATGAAGAATACAATAACTGAAATGAAGAATACTCTAGAAAGGAATTACCAGCAGACTAGATGAAGCAGAGGATAGAATTGGCAATTTGGAAGACAAGGTAACAGAAAACACCCAATCAGAACAGCAAAAAGAATGAAAAAAAAAATGAGGATAGTTTAAGGGAACTCTGGGACAACGTAAAGCATACCAACGTAATGCACATTATAGGGATACCAGCAGGAGAAGAAAGCAAGCAAGGAATTGAAAACCTATTTGAAAAAATAGTGTAGGAAAATTTCCCTAACCTGGAGAAGGAAATACATATACAAGCCCAGGAAGTGCAGAGAGTCCCAACCAAGATGAACCCAAACAGGACCACACCAAGATGCATCATAATTAAAATGGCCAAAGGTTAAAGACAAAGAGAGAATCCTAAAAGCAGCAAGAGAAAGGCAAATAGTTACTTACAAGGGACCTCCTTTAAGATTGTCAGCTGACTTCTCAATGGAAACTTTGCAGGCCATAAGGGATTGGCTCAAAATATTCAATGTGATGAAAACCAAGGACCTACAACCAAGAGTACTCTACCAAGCAAGTCTATCATTTAAAATTGAAGGAGAGTTAAAGAATTTCCTAGACAAGAAAAGCTAAAGGAGTTCATCACCACCAAACCAGTATTACAAGGAATGTTAGTGGGACTTCTTTAAGATGAAAAAAAAAAAAAGATAAAAAATATAAACAATAAAATGGAAATAACTACGTATCTATCAACAATTACTTTCTATGTAAATGGATTAAATGCTCCATTCAAAATAATAGGGTGCCTGGATGGATAAGAAAACAAAACTCTTACATATGCTGCCTATAAGAGACCCACTTCAGATTGAAAGATGCACACAGACTGAAAGTAAACAGATGGAAAATGTTATTTCATGAAAATGGAAATGAGGAGGAAAAAAACTGGAGTAGCAATACTTATACCAGACAAAATAGACTTTAAAACAAAGGCTATAACAAGAAACAAAGAAGGACCCAGTAATCTCACTTCTGGGTATTTATCTGAAGAAACCCAAAACACTATTTTGAGGAGATATGTGTATCCATGTGTTCATTGCAGCATTATTTACAATAGCCAAAATGTGGAGACAGCCTGCGTGTCTGTCGATGAAAGAATGGATAAAGAGGAGATGGTACGTGTATACAATGGAATATTGCTGGACCATGGAAGGGAATGGGTTCTTACCATCTGGAGTGGCATGGATTGACCTGGAGGGTATTGTGCTGAGTGTAGTATATCAGACACAAAAAGACAGATGCAATGTGATTTCATATATATGTGGAATTTAAAGAACAAAATAAACAAAGAAAATAAATAAAATCATACAGAGAACATTTTGATGGTTGCCAGATTGGGGTGGGGTGGGGGTAAGGGAGTGGGTGAAAAAGAGGAAAGGATTAAGAAGTACAAATTGGTTTTTACAAACTAGTCATGGGGATGTTTGGTATAGAATAAGGAATATAGTCAATAATATTGTAATAACTATGTATGGTGTCAGATGGGTACTAGATTTATCAAAGCGATAGATGGGAGGGGAGTTGGGGGACAGAGTGAGAAAGGCAAATGCATTAAGTACAAATTGGAAGTTACAAAATAGTCATGGGGATGTAAAATAAAGCATACGTTATATAGTCAATAATATAGTAACTAGGTATAGTGCCAGGTGGGTACTAGACTAGTCAGGGGGATCACTTCTTAAATTATGTAAATGTCTAACCACTATGCTGTACACCTAAAATTGATATCAAATAATATGGTATGTCAACTGTAATGGAAAATTTTTAAATTGAGGGAAAAGGTGAAGGGGACTAAGAGGTCCAAATTTCCAGTATAAAACAAATAAGTTATAGGGATGTAATATACATCATGGGGAATATAGCCAATAATATTGTGATAGTGTGGTACAGTGTCAGATGGTTGCTGGACTTATGGTGATCATTTTTTTAGTTATGTAAATGTTGAACAACTATAAAATACACCTGAAACTGATATAATGTTGTATGTTAGCTGTATTTTTAGTAAAAAAATCTTAAAAACTAGAATTACTCTAAATTTGATATACAATCTATTTGAACATACATATTTTATATATCTGTGTGTATATGTGTCCACATGTGTAGAGCCATGCACCAAATATAAGCAATACATGACATTTTTAAGAACCACAGAGCATTAAAATGTGAGTTTGGGGACACTGTTTAGAAGTCTATATGAAAACAGAAGAATTGCTGTCTAGCGGAGGATGGAGGACTCATCAAACAACCTCCTTCTTCCTGCATGTGTTCTGAAACAAGGAGTATGACATAAAATAGCAAACAGGAGCCAAAATATCACCTTCATTAATGAAAAGTTGGAGGAGAAAGCTTAGCAGTTAGAGATGAATGCTTAAAATGAAAGCCAAATCGTCTAGATAACTTAATCCAAGAAATAGAATTATCTACGTTGTCTGTTAAGTCTTCCCAAACTTACCAGCCAGGTAAAACATTTCTTCTGTGCTGGAACACGGTAGGTAAAGAAGTAGAAATGTCAGAGGTTACAATAAACGCAATCATTTCTAAGGAAAGAAAGAGAATTGTTCATCCCAAAGTGAGAATGAAGTAAAATTAGATATCATTAATGTTATAATTGCACAAGAAATCCCCCAAGCACACACAGAAGTAAAAACTGAAAACCACACTTTTAGAGCATGACATCTAAAAATGTAATACTTAGAAGAGAACTGAAAGCTTTAGATGCTTATATAGAAGGGAGAAGAGTTTAAAATGAGCTAAGCTTTCAACTCAGTTATTTTTGAGAAAGGAAATAGAGTGTAACTAAATAACAGAAAAATATAAATTCAATGAGATAGATAATCGATAAAATAAATAGCTTGTTTTTTGACCAAACACAAAATAGACTACCTCATGGCAAAATCAATGAAGAAAAAAAAAAAGAACAAAATCAGTACTACTACAAATAGTGTTTAGAAAAATATCATTCTATGAGTAAATTTTGCTAATATGTATAAAGACTTGAAGACAATTGAGAATGTTATTCTAATTTACCAAGAGTAATAAAGAAGCTAAAATAAACCATGGATGCTATAACTACTAAAAACTCAAATCTATTAAACATATACTTACATATATACACAGGCTAAAACATAAATGGCTTTAATTATGAATTTTACCAAAATTTAAAGAAACAGACAACTCATATTTATGTGAAATCTTGAGAAGTAAAACAAAGTTCATTGGAAAAAGGGGAGAAAAAGCTCCCTAATATGACACCAAAAGCACAAACAAAATTGGAAAAGATTAAAAATATCTTTAAGTTAAAATTTAAATCTTCTACACAATAAAATAGACCAAAAACAAGGTCAACACACAAGCCACAGACTTAGAAATGATACTTGTGAAGTCAATTAATTCCAAAAGGTTAGTGTCTAGAATAATTCTAAAACTTTTCAGTGCAAGATAATTTTATACCCTTAAAATTGCTTTCCCCAAACTGCTTTCCTCTTGTGAGTTATATGTATCAAATTTTATTATATTAAAAATGAAAACTGATAAATTTTTAAATACTTGTTAATTTATTTAAAATAATCATAAACCAAATGTATGTTACTATCAATACCATATTTACTGAAAAATAACTTTATAAGAACAAAAATAAAATAACTTTAATGACAAGCATGGTCTTGTTTTACTCTTTTTCAAATATCTATAATATCTGGCTTAAAGGAAGACAGCTGGATTCTCTTATCTGCTTTTGCATTCTATCTATTGCGATTTTAGTTTAGTTTATGTGTATGAAGAAAATCCAAACTTACACAGATGTTACATACACACACTTTGAAATAATGTCAAAGTCTCCTGTGGTCCCTGGACCAATACTTTTAGAATTGCTATTCTAGAATAAAGAATTCCCATAATTCAATAAGAAAAGGCATATATTTCAATACGTAGAAGAAAAAACAAGGCCAGAAGATATACATAAGCAATTCATATAGAGGAAATCTAAATGCCTCAAAACATTTTTGTTACTGTTTAGAATGTTAAAGGACAAGACAGCTTTCCACACCCACAAGACTGACAAAAACTTTTAAATCTGGCAGTTATAAATATTCATGAGGGTTTAGAGCAATGGTAACCCTTATTGACTACTGGTGGGTATGTAAATGATCATCTTTTAGCAAAAAAAAAAAAATGATCTATATTTCGTAAAGTTTCAGCTACGCCTACATTGATACCCAGAAATGTCCCCTCTAGATATTTACTTAATGGAGCACCAGGAGGCTTGCTCAAATTGACCACTGAGACACTGTTGGAATAGCAAAACTTGGAAACAACCTAAAAGTCCACCCTTAGGGGAAATAGCTAAATAAATTGTAATGTTGAGTACCATGGAATTCTATATAGCAGTTAAAATAAATTGACTATATCTATACTAAAGTCACATAGAAATATTTCATCTGTAATGTTGACTATCAAGTTTTAGAATGCTTCAGAGTATGATACTTTTTTCATTTTAAGACTAAAAATGCTATGTATCATTTATGGATACGTATTTACATTTATAGTATATTTATATTAAAAGAATTAAAATGTCACAGAAATGCATATATCTACATCAGAATAGTGAGTGCTGTTGGACAGACATGAAGGGAGATCAGGTCAGAAAGGAATATAATAGGATATGAAGTTTACCTGTGACTTATTTACTCATCAACAAGCACAAGAAAACTAAAGCAAATATGGCTAAATGGTAATATTTGTTAAAATTGCATTATGGGTAATTGAATGTATTATTTTTAGTTATTCTAAAATTCTGTCCTGTCTGTCTGTTTTATATTTCATAACACTTTAAGTAAGATATAAAATTAAATTAGAAACCCAGGTTCACATCACATGATAGTATAACAGCACATATGGAAAATGAGTTGGGATTTAGATATATACCTAGAATTTTGTAACATGTATATACTTCAGGACACTAAGTTGACATTTGAATAATTTGAGATGGATTTCTTATCATTTTTCAATTGCTTATAAATATTTTATTAGTACTCAATCCCCATAATTGTCTTTCTGGACAGCAGAATGGTCTGGTAATGTTTATTGTGTTCCTGCAGATGGACAGTGTTATGAGTATAAATGGATGGCTAGTGCTTGGAAAGGCTCTTCCCGAACAGTCTGGTGTCAAAGGTCAGATGGTATAAATGTAACAGGTAACCCTCCAATTTCTTTTTGTTCTTCAAAGGTCTTCCTGTAACACATGTGTAATAGGTTAAAAAAAATTAGGAAAGATATTCTTTCAGTATTCGACACATGGTTGAATTTAGGATACCTCAACTGTATAACTTCCTGTTGACCAATGACAAATGATTTTATTTTTTTCATGTTTCAATTACATTGTCCCACACCCAGCCATTTTAGACATTGCTACTAGAATTCATTTAATTAAAATATTGTGTAACTCTAATAAATGATTGTTATAAGTAAATAAATAATTCTTGGATTGATTTTCCTAGATACTTGACATATTAATAGCTTACTACATGCTAAAAAAAAATAATCACTTTTTTGTTGACTATGTCTGTTCCTGTGCTTTAAACACCATACACATGCAGACCAAAAATATTATTAAGGGAATAGTGTTACACAGATCCAAATATATTCTTGAATTCAGAAACCTATGATTTTTTTAAATTAATAGGAAAGACTGGTTGGTAAATCTCAAGCCCAAAGCATCTAAACAGCTCACCTACTCTGTATCGACTCAAAAATTATTATACATCCAAAGAAGTAATCAAAATGAAGAAGTTTTTTGAATGTCCTTCATACCTAAATGTACTCCAAAGAACTACTCTAATCTGCAGTTACTAAAAGTCTCCTTATCTGAGCCCAGTAAAGGCAAAGGATCCAGGCCAAGGGTTCCTTTAAAGAGGGAAGAAACTTGGCTCCAGAGCTTAGTGAGATGAGCCACCCTGCAAATTTCCTAGAAAGAAACCATGGTCTGAAATGGCACCTCAACCTCAAGTACATGGACCCAAAGATCTAATGTCTCTTCTTAAATAATGTATTTGTATTGATCTCATTTACAGGAATCTCCATAGCATAGCAGTAGCATGAGTATTGACAGTTAACTGTTCGGGGTGACCTGCTGACTTGCTGCCATGGTTCTGACCCTCTGGCGGAGAGAAAAAGTAATGTGCATTTGGTTGCCTTCTGAGTATGTCCATTTATAAATTTAGCTGTAATACATACAGTAAGATAACAGGAGCAGGGATCAATATGCCTTTTGGAAAGCATCAACTTTTATATTGAATTTTAAATTACCTGGCTTTATTGAAACCTGATTACTTATTTCCTCCCTATGAGAGCTGGAACAGGATGTCAAACTGTATCCCTGTGCAGACAAGATTTTATACATGAGAAATCTGTATCAAGAAACCCTGGATAATAGCAACTCCCAGTGGACCCATGCATAACAAAGAAGACACTTTCCAGGAAACCCTTTGCTTTCACACAGTATTATGTTCTGGGGGAAAAATTTGTTCCAACCACACCACTCTAGGAGACAGAGAGGGAGAAAGAGCTGCGGGAGGGAGATATAGGCTTTCTGAACTCGAGGCATTATATGTATAGGGAGTTCACTCCACTCAGGTGTTGAAAATGAATGTCTACATTCTTTTTGCTTTTTATTTATTTAGTTAGTTAGTTATTTAGCTGAGCCATCCTGCTACCTTTTGGCAGCTCAGTGGCAGCTCAGCTTGGGCTAGGAATCGAACCCACGACCCTGTTGCTCAGAGCTCGCACTCTTGAGCAAGCTGTTAAACAACTGAGCCACTCGGCCAGCCCAAATGTCTACATTCCTCTTCAAACTATTCAGAGGGAATTTTAGAGCTTTCCCAAAGGCTCCTATTAGTTTTCAATATTTTTGTTTTTTCTAAATATGGATGCAAATAATATTTGTTTGCCTTTTCTTCTACATGTCAAAAGCACTTAAATTAGGGCTATTCCTCAATGCAAAAAGTCAAATTTTAAAAGACTTACCTGTAGAAATCATATTTTAATTTCTTTTTAATGCAGTACAATATCCAGTGTATTTCTTCCTAATACTGTTTGATACCAAAAAGCCTATGTATACATTATTTGTGATCAACTTTCTATGTAGTCTTCTTCCATCTTTTGGGAGAGATGAGATTCTTTATGAGAAATAGACAAGCATGTAAAGTATATCATTTACCTTGATTGATTGCTTTAATTTTATGAATAGTTATCCTTATAAGAAACTCAAAGTGTTGTTTTCCTTTTTCTCATGTGTTTAATGATAATAGCTTTAATATGGCCATTTAACTGCAACTACCTTGCAATGACTAACTGCTTTCCATAACATTTTTTCTATGAATATTTTGATTATAATATTGAGAGATAAGGCAAGGAATTAACAATAGTCACCTTTGATAAATTCCAGAATATCATCAATTCCATAAATAAAGGAAAAAAACTTTGCTTTGCTAAAATTCTATTAAACTCAACAAGAATGGTTTGAAACTGTGAGTTCCTTCCACATCAACAATATTGTTTCTTTATGACATGTATTCTCATCTTAAAAATCTTACGTATAACAACTTAGGGACACGTGATAGTAAACTGGAAAAGAAGGAAAAAGAAGGGGGATAAATAGAGCTACAATGTCAAGTTCAAACAATAGTGAAAGCACACTATTTAGTAGCTACATTTGTTTCCTTTCCTATACCCCAGAAAACCCTGAATTAGCAAGCATAGTGAATTTTCTCAAAAAGAAATATACGTTATGGGCCGGCCGAGTGGAGCATTGGTTAAGAGCTGGCTTGGGATGCCAGAGGGCCTCGGTTCGGATCCCACATATGAGGGCCAGTGACACTGCCCTCTACAGCTAAGATGCTGAACAACAGCTCTACCTGGAGCTGGGCTGCCATGAGTCGCAGGCTACGGCGTAGGCTGCAGCCCCTGCTGCGGTGGGTTGCCATGGGCTACCGTATGTAGCTGGCAGCCAGCGTGAGTGGCCAGCAGCCACCGTGAGCGGCCGTCCAGAGGTCAGCGACTGATCTGCCTCACCCGGGATGGGCGCGGTGATGGTGCCAACTTGGGCCGGTGAAGCGGGTTCCTCCACAACTGGACTGAAGAACAAAAAGGACAGCAACTTGTCTGTCCCCCTTCCCCCCAGTTCCCCAGCGCTGTTCCCATCCCCCAATTCCCCAATTAAAAAAAAATCTTAAAAAAAAAAATATATATATATATATGTTATAAAAAATGCATTTATGTGGTAGTCACATAAATTAAAGACACATCTCAAAGGACATGAAAACTATTTCTTTGAATAGCCAAGAAAGAATTTTAACTTTGAAAGAAACTTAAATCCACTTCTTAGTGCCGGACTTGGCCGCAGGAAAAATAGCAAAAATAGCTTGTGTGCCATCGGTGTTTTCAGAGTAGCAACTATAAAATCCTCTGTTCAACAAGTGCTTAAAGAGCACCTGCTGAGCGCCAGCACTGTCTGTGTCCTCTGAATAAGAAGGGTCTCGAGTTCCTAAATAAAGTGGTCAAGGTTAACCAAGCATTTCACAGCCCGCCACCCTCAGAAAACTCTGTGGGATTCCCAAAGTGGTTCAGGATTCAAAGACAAGCCTATAACAACAGTGTATTTTTATCATTGCAAGAGCTTCTACTTGTCAAAACATGATTTTCTGTTCCGCAGGGGGCTGCTTGGTCGTACGCCAGCCTGACGCCGACAGGTCGTGTCACCCACCGTGTAGTCAACCCCACTCGTACTGTAGCGAGGTATGTGTGAAGCCATTAGGGGAGACCAGCCAGCTCCATCATTTGTCACCCTACTGCCTCTTGTGCAATCCATTTCCCTTAAAAGAAATCATATCTTGAGGCATAAAAATTCTAGTTTCAGACCTCCCCTTGTATCAATATAAACAATTCTGAATGCACTTGCTTCTACTATTAGAATAAGTTTGTGTGCCATGCAAAAAGTGTGTTCATTATTTTTTTAATAGTGAAGATAGAAATAACCTGTAGTCAATTCTCCAAATAATACTTCTTTAAAGCCTTCTCTTCAGGTCAGGTCTGTTGTGCTTTTAAAGATCAGCCTTGGATGCACAGTAGAAATCTTCTTCTTCTCCTACAGACGAGGACATGCAGTTGTGAAGAAGGGTACACGGAAGTCCTGTCTTCTAATGGTACACTCGAGCAATGCACACTGATCCCTGTGGTGGTGATACCCACTGTGGAGGACAAAAGAGGAGACGTGAAAACCAGCCGGGCAGTCCATCCGACCCAACCCTCTAGTAACCCGGCAGGACGGGGCAGGACCTGGTTTCTACAGCCTTTTGGGCCAGGTGAAGTGACTAGGCAGCATTGATGTACAATTCTTTACTTACATATTGAACTAATGCCCAAGGGTGAAAAAGGTGCAAGCATTTGCATAGGAGCTATTTATTATTGCACTGAAACATTTGTTCTGATTCTGTCATATGCTCTTAATTATTTTACTATTATGAAAAAAACACGCTCAAAGTTCAGAGAAGTGAAATTACTTTCTTTTGAGAAAAAAATTTTCGGGTTGGTGTTATTCAATCTCAGTCCTAAATTTACAAGTATAATTATTTTCACATTGAGCAATGAAAGTATTAATTGGGGCAGGGGTTGGGAGAAGCATTCGGTACTGGAACTAACGGAACTATAAAAACATTCAAGAATTTTTCATTTGACCACAAAGTAGTAATAATTTGAACCTAAAATAGGAACATTAGTAATGCAGTGCCATGCTGGAAGACACATGGTAGCCAGACCAATTTCTATCAGCCCTTAGAATTGGCACACTCAAAATCAAAATCTCAGAATCTATACTCACACCAGATACATAGGTGGAGGGATGAAGCCTTCGTCTAGATGGGACAATCTGAACTTGGAGACGGACCCTACCCTTGCTATATTAGACAGCCCTTAATGTGTCTACTAATGGACTTAAAGCCAATACAGGCAAAAGTTTGAAGGCCAGCTGGATTCAACCATATACTTATTCCTAGAATGTGCTTACAAAGGCTATATGGTGGCTAATATCATGCCCCTGTTTCTCACAACAAGAGGGATTCCTAGTTCATGACCATAGGAAATCTCTAGGCAAAGCCAGGCATGGGCTACTTTATACCTCCATTAGAAACAGGAGAAAAGAAGGAAGGAATGTGTATAACTAACACATCTCTATTTTTAAGGCATTAAGTCAAAACACTTTTCCTTACTGGAAAATCACTACTGGGATTTTTTAAGCACTTTCATTATTTGGGATTATCCATATTTAACCTGTTCCTGCCTTGATTAGGTTGAAAATACGTTGTATTTTGCAAAACTGACTTCACTGTGTAAACATGGGGAACTCTTCTCTCAGTGTTCAAGACAGTGGACCCACAAGTGGCCATAACAAACTTGACCTTGACAAAGAATCCAAGCAGGCCTCCTTGCCTCAAAACTGGTTTTTAAAAAGACAGACTATTATTATTGTCATTTGAGATGTAACATATAGTTTACCTAAAGTAAACATTTTAATATATTAAAAAGGTACATGTTCTAAGAATACATTTAGACCCTGTTCTTGGTTTTTGAAAAACCCAAAGAATATTAGCTGAAGAACTCTCAGGGCAAATACACCCAACAGCGGAAGAGATCTTTTGATTTTAAACTCAGGCTTAAATTTTAAAATCTTTAGAATCAAAAAGAAAAGACACGTAAAATATTAATTTATTTCCAGCAAATGAACCCCTAAGTCGATCCAGACCTAGATGAAAAGAATTCCACAGTACTGATTTGCTTTTAATGTCATTTAAAAATTGAAGAAACCAGAGTTTCTTATGGGGTCAACTTGCCCAATCTATAATTTAATACTAATATCATACATTTAATTGCATGTGTGCAGCAGAAAATATATATTGATGTGAGGACCAAATTAAGTTAGCAAAGTCATTAATAATGTCTCCTTTTTCAAATTTATTCAAAACAGAAAACTGAGTTCAAAGAGAATGAGATCAGAATACCATATTAGAAAAGACCCCTTCTTATCTGATTTTATATACACGTTTCCCCCACTATCCGAAAATAGAGTATTCCTTTGAATCCTTTCATAAGCTGAAATGGCGTAAAGCAAAGAAGCAGTTACCACTAATATGGAAAAAATTTTGAGTGGTTCCAGGCCCAAAAAAGAACTTACTAATTCATGCCAAATATACTTAATTACACCCAGTTTTGCACTAAGCGTAGCACCCTTATGAGCTGCTTATATAACAGCAGGCTGCAAACCAAACACTGACCGCTATTTTTGCTTTTCGCCAATTTTCATAAAAGAGAAATTACTCTTTGGACTTCTTTCAGTTAGGGAAAACAGGTACTTTGTAAAAGCAAAGTGGCATAATGCGAATTTTCAAAACGCAGAGGGGATACCTGTAATAGAAAAGGCAGAAAAAAGTTATTTGTAGATCCTTTTATATGTAATCAAACTTGGTTATTGTTGCAAAGGATAGTGTCAAATCTACTTTAAGGCATACTGTAAGTGTAAACTAAACAAAAGATTATTAATTCCAAAAAATTGTTAAATATATTCACTTGCAGTTCATCTGGGAAAATATGTTAAAATCACAAAGTTTATGTGCAAATAACCATCTCCATCAACACTAAGTCGTAGGACTTTATTGAAATTGCATGATTTTTCTTCTTTTCTCATAATTGCCTTTCTCAAAATAGACTGTAAATCAGAAGAAAATGTTTACATAGCATTATGCATGTATTGGATTTAAAGTAAAATTCAGATAAGAAACAGCAGAAGTTTACACGCTTGAAATCTGAACTCGAACTGAAAACGTTATTTATTACTTTTCCATTCAATTTTCATTGATTATTTATCTTTAATGAAGGAGCATCTAACTCATAATAGCAGCTTCACTTTAATCATTAATTGAGCCTAAGCAATAATTCATTTTGAGTTTTGAAAGGACTTAGTCATATGTGACTGGTCATCGGTCATAGTTAAAGACTGTCATTTATATACCAGACTAATATAAATTAATGATTAATATCCATTCTTCTTAGATGGGAGACTAAAGACCTGGGTTTACGGTGTAGCAGCTGGGGCATGTGTGTTACTCATCTTTATTGTCTCCATGATTTATCTAGCTTGGTGAGTGTTTAAATATTTCAAAATCTAAAGGGATGCATAATCTCTCTATTTCAAAGGAAGCACTTTCAGCTGACCATAACACAGGAACAGTAAACTAATGTCCCAAAAAAGTGTTCCACATTGATGTAGTGTTCATCTGAAGTTCTAAATAAACATGGCTTTAGTCTTAGTCTAAAACTATCAATTCTGAGCCATTTAATTTCTGGAGATGAACCAGAGTTGCTCCAGGCTCTCCTTGTTATTCTAGGGAATATGCTTATGGTGAACTGTAGATTTCTACATTGAATTATTACTGGAGGAAGATATTATAATAATACCTAATCTCATTCAACTATCTTTTTAAACATGTATTATTTATAAGTTATGTATTATTTATAAAAGATTCTGGCCAAATATAAATGATTATACTATAATGCTATTTCTGTTATTAGTACTAGAGGGTTTCCATTTGGATAATTTATCTTTTACAGGATTATAACATATTTGAAGGGTTCTGTTTTAAGTTTATTCAGAGTACAAAACTGAGAAATTCAAAGATAACAGGAAATAAAGCTTTAATTTTGAATGTAGGCAATGTCTATGATTAAGTAATTTAGGTTTATCAGTATGTTTCTGGTTTTTTTTTCAATCAAAACAATAAAATTTACAATGGAAGATTGATTTTGATTTTTTTCTCCCAATTTTAATGACTTTTTTTAACAGCAAAAAGCCAAAGAAACCCCAAAGAAGGCAAAACAACCGACTGAAACCTTTAACCTTAGCCTATGATGGAGACGCAGACATGTAAAATAGAATTTATCCTGGCAACACCCAGTATCAGCTTGCTGACTTTGCAGTAGATACCCAGAAGCCACAAAGCTATTCAAATTGTGTGGATTAAAATGCGTTGTACCTTTTTTAAAGATCATCATTAAGAAAAGAGGAGATATCAAGACAGTACCACTTCCATTGAAACCATCAGCCCTGAGAAGTCTAGGAGACTAAGTTGAATACATGCTGCCTTCGGAGAGTTTTAAGTGATCTTTTGTGAAACCTACCAACTGGCAATTTACTTTCATCTCTAAAATATGATGATGGAATTGACCGGTTAGGATGTCTGATACAAACCTCTGTCTGCAGTGTTAAGCCGTAGAAACATTTTAGCATGTAGAGTTTATAACGAGAACTCTACACTACCATAGGCAAACATAACATCATGTATACTCAACTGAATAGTACATATTATTATGTCAGATTATATACTTGTTAATAAGCCATTTTAATGATGAATAAAAGATAAGCTGTAAGCTGAGCAGAAAACCCATTGAATAAATTCAGCATCTTGGTGGTTGATGGTAGCTTTTATCAACCTGCATTTTGGAGGCAAAGACTCTTTTATAAGACTTCATTCTTGTCTCTCTCCAAAGTACAAATGCTGGACATGTACTAGTACCTTAGAAGAGTCCTCAAGTTCAGTATTTTATAGTGGTTATTGTCTGGAAAACCAATTTGCTTGTGTTCACACAATAAGTTTCTTCTTTCCCTAATTTCAAACTGGTTGCCTGGAAGGCACATTTTTGCACTATATTAGTGCAGCATGATAGGCACTTAACAAATATTGCCATAGAAACTGCCTCTTTCATATGGGATGAAGACATGCACGCTAAGAGTGTCATGGAGACATTTACAAGTTATTGTATCCTGAAGAGAGTAACGTTCATTTTGGATGGCGACAGGATGGAATTAGCTATCACATCTGCTGCACACACTCTTCCTCATCACTGCAACCATTGTGAAATTGACAACATGGCGGTAATTTAAGTGTTGAAGTCCCAAACTCATTAACCCTCCAAAAGACGGATCCCTCTAGTTGTTTTTAATTGTACTTTGAAGGCTGTTTATGACTAGATTTTTATATTTGTTATCTTTGTTAAAAAAAAAGAAAAGAAAAGAAAAAGAGGAGCTGGTTGTCTTTTTAATTTTGAGCAGATGGAGAAAATAATGCATCGATGATTTTTGTACCTGACAGAAATTGTGTGTTGATTATCCTTTCCCCCTGATTTGTTTTCCTAGTTTCAAATCAAATGTATTTCAAAATCCATAGTTTTCTCGTTCTCACTGGTAAACTTAAAGTGGTCTTTTTAATGTATGATTTCAAAAACTAAACTTTTAAAAAGAGAAGAGTAAATATTTTGCCCAGGGCTTCATTCTGGACTAAGGGTGGCAAACTTTTCCTGTAAAGGTCCAAATTATAAAGATTTTCAGCCAGGTCTACGTCGCAGCTTTTCAGTTCTGCCATTGTGAGAGCACAGCCATAGACAATGCACAGTACATAAAATAATAAGCATGGATGTTTCCAATAAAACTTTCTTAAAAAAAAAACAGTCAGCAGACCACATTTTCAGGACATGGTTTGCTGGCTGCTAGTCTAGAAGTTTTTTCGAAGCCAACTCTCCATTGGGTCATCATTAGTTTTTATTTTATTTATTTTTTATTTTATTTACCTTCACACTGCAATCAGTGTTTCATTTCAAAGGTGAAAAACAGCCATTCAACTTACTACTGTGTTGTAAGTAGCTATATATTTTTTTACAGCTAAGGCCCTAGGAATGGCACAGTGAAATAATACTTAACTTAGCAGATTTTTTTCATATGAAAAGAAAATTCAAAAGGTGCCATTAAGAAGCAATACCATTTTCAGGCAACATTTACTGCAACAACCTTTGGGAGAGGAGAGGACATTAGGGTTTCAGGTCTTTTAAAAATAACATAAGGAGCTGTTTTATCTTAAACATAGCTGTGTTGCTATAAAAGTGTTTTGGACTACAAGGTATTTTACTAGAGTTTGAACGCCCCCTGCTGTTCATTAAAGTATTTGCAAAAATTATAGAAGACATCAGATTGGCATGTCATTGTCCCCAAAATGAATAGATTTCTACATGTTTCAATAAGGATTAAATGTGGTAAACACTAATTTCTTATTCAATATTCACTGTATTTAGGCAATGTAAGTAATTTCAAAGCAAACAGGTAGTCAGGAAGATGAGGATTTTGCCTTCCACCAGGGATTTAAACAAGGAAAAGCATAAAAACAAATTCCATTTCATCTGTCTTTCTGAAGAGGAAGACAAAAATAATATGTTACTCTCAAACTGTGATATTCAATATATGTACTCAGGAGTCTTCCAAATAATTGATCACTTTGAATAAATAAACTCCATTTGTCCAAAATGGTCGAGAAAAACTCTATTGCAGTTACTTGAAGAATTCAGCTAACAGCCTTATGAAATGCATGCAACACCTAATAACTTTGAAATTATTAAATAAAGTATTGCTGCTGCTAAAGCTATACTTACAATACTGTAAAATGTCATTAATTCGGAAGGTAGATCAGTATCATCCCACCTTTATTATAAGAATTAAATGAATTAATTAATCAAAATGATAAAAAGTTATGAAAATACAAGATGATTTTATTCATAAATTGATTATACTTTACAACACAATGTATGTGCCATAGACTAGGTCCAACATGACCTAACACTAGAAAGCATATTGGAACTTCATTGTTAAGATAAATAAATACTGGATGGCCTCTTGTTAGAAAGGTAGAAGGAGGGGAATATAGCTACTGGAAGCTGACTATTTTGGATAAACGAAAGTTACTGTATTCACGTTTATAACATGAAAATGGCCTTATTTTTGTTCCTGGCATGAGTCAATAATGAGTTAAATACTTCACTGGAATTTCATCAAAACCTTATTCCTCCTGTTCATTTTAAGAATTCAGAAGGAGAATATAGGTAACTTGCCTGTTGATACTTCTGCCTTACCAAAATGGTCTGAGCCCAAAAAGGTTTAGAACTACTATTGTATAAGTAAGAAGGTCTGCTTGGTTTTTGTTTTGTTTTGTTTTTTTTTAAAAAGGAGAATGTTGACACAGTATTATAGATTTGGTTGGACTGTTTCAATATAATCCACATAGAAGTGGCATAACTGATCTCTCTTGAAAAAGGTCTATTTGCTCATTCATTGATACCTAAACTAGGATACTGGCCATAATCCTTATTTCAAAGCCTTTTCGAGTACACTACAGTGTAGCTTAAGCTAATTTGAAAAAGAGTGCATAAAAGCATGTTCTTAATTACTTATAACAAAGCGCAAATTCCTTAGTAGAACAAGACAAATATATATTAAGTTATCACATGTAAGACACTGCTAGGCACTGTAAAAAAAAAGTTAGTAATGGCTTTGTATACATTGGTACCTAAGACATTCAAAAGGAGGGAAAAATGCTTAATGAGTGACAATAGCACTTACACACATCATCCTCTCCCCTAGATTTGATTTTCAATGTGGTTAGTATTTTTCCTTCTGTAATGTCTATGCCTCAGGCCATGCTGTTAGGCTTTCACTGTACGCTGTACCCCTCCTCCACCCTCAGGCAGGTAGCAGTGGTCTTGGTGGCTTAATCAGAACCCTCTTACGTTCCTGGACACGTCAAGATAAAGTCACTTATTTAAAACTTCTTAGAGGATGCAAGTAACATCTCACATTTTTGTTGTTGTTTGTTGTTTTGTTTTGTTTTACCTCCACTAAGTCCCTATATCCTTGCTCCTTTATGGTGACTTTCTCTGCCTGGTCTCTTTCTACTCTAGTCTCTTATCAACAACTAACCTTGTCTACTCTCTTCAGAACCACCTTCTACTAAACATGCCATTAAATATAGGTGAATGCCTATATTTCCTTCTTATTGGAGTCAAAGTGTCAGAGTGTGAACATGTTGATTTAAACAGAATGAACTGGTCAAAGACACGAGGAAAGAGGAAAGAGGAAAGGAAAGATGTGGATGACATGCTAAAAACAAACAAAACAAAAAAAACTGTAATAATGTCAATTCCTACGCTCGAATTAGCACAACCCAGTGCCCTCCGACCTCCATCTTGCCTCTTTCACATCCCACCCTGCCAGCCAGTGAGGGAGGCCGGCACCTTTCACTAAGCAAAGGAGAGTCGATTCTTACGCTGATTTGGGATCTGAATCGATTTGCAAGAATCATGCTTCCCAGATGACCTGGGATCTCACTATTTGTAAAAATATTACCAAACTCCAAATCTGTTTCTTGTTCTAGTTCCCCAGGAAGGTGGAGGGTATGCAAAGGACGGCAGTGCATGAGCAAATCTGTGAGGGATCTTGTTAGAGCGTGCTCTCTCCTGGGTCGAGTGTAGATAGGTGACAACTGGAATGCCTGCCAGCCTCCCCTGGCCTGTCCTCAGGTGGCCGTGGCTGCAGAACAGAATTTCTGGTGCCTGGAACTGGTGTGTCGTGGGCCTAGCAAACACTCTTTATAAAAATGATGTGTCATGATGATTCTGTATCTAGCAGGGACACTGAAAAGTGATTACGTCTACATTATTAAATAAGGGAAATAGATCCTAAATGCTGATAGAGCTAGTTTTGTAGTTTTATGTTTTTGTGCTTCTTACCAAGCCAGACCTTATGACAGGCAGTATTATGATGACTTAGTTTGTGGGGGGTCATGTTTTCAGCAATCAAAAATCTCTATTTAGATATATAATTGGGTGTTGGTCTTATTGTTGTGTTTTGTAGATTTTTTTTTTCCCCAAAGCAATAGTTTCTAGGTCACCTCCTTTGAACCCTCAATGAAATTTTCTCAACTATTTTTGAGGAATCTATGTGTGTTTATTTTTTTAAAAGTAAACATTAAGATTCCCTTTCTGGTATTCTTTTCGGCCTATTTCTAGCACAGATTTGAAGAGATCAGTATCTGTCATTGTAAAATATAACTATTAAATTTGCAATATGTTTTTCTATAAATTATAATCCCTAAATGTGTTTTTTTGGTTAATTTAATTACATGAATATTTATTTTCTTTAAATAAGAAGGCAGCTGTCTAAGAAGTTTTTGTTAATATTACTTTGTAAATTGTGTAATGTAACTTATTTTAAATTATGTACATTTCTTTTTTAAACGCACAAATGTCTATGTACTAATTAACTACAGATTTGCAAATAATGCCACTAAGCTTTATTCAGTTAATACAGATGGCATGTGAAGATGTAATATGCTTTTTTACATTTTCATATGGGTAATTTGTAAATAAGTATGTTGCTGACAAACATAAACACGGAAATCATTTTCATTCTACTCGTGTATCTGTTTTAATTTGCATCATTTGCTGCTCAAATGTGGGTTAATTGGTTTTTTTCAGTGAATATCCAAATCCTTTTACTACTTTTTTTTTTTTTTTTTTTTTTTTTAGCTGAGCCATCCTGCTACCTGTTGGCAGCTCAGTGGCTGCTCAGCTTGGGCTGGACTCGAACCACTGTTGCTCAGAGCTCAAACTCTTGAGCGAGCTCTTAACCAACTGAGCCACTCGGCCGGCCCTTCCTTTTACTACTTTTAATTGCTTGCTCCAGAGTCTTTTTTTTTAACAACTCCAGTTTAGAAAGTTCAGGAGATGCAAACCTTTTCTTCAAAAGTCTGCTGAGGCCACCAGATGAGTCATCATGAACAGAGGATCTCTTGGTTTCCCGTCAATTGAAAGGAAGGATGGTAAACACTCTAGAAGATAGAGGGCGACAGCTTCTTGTCCCCTCAGCCAGAAGGCAAACCTGTGCCGTCCTTCTTTCCCATGTCTACCAATCAAAGACCAAGTCTCAAAAACAAGTCAGGAACTCACACGTTAACAAATGGACTTCCCTAGTTCCCCAAATTCAGTAACAGTCATGCATTTACAATTCAGGAATGGGTACACCAAAGTAGAGAAATGACTGCCAGGGTAGCTTGCAGGTAAAACATTTTCTGAAATAGCTGTTTGCTAAGATATAACTAAGCGGGGAACCCTTTAAACACTTAGTATATGAACCACTCAAAATATGCAGCTAGCTTCAAACACTTGCTGAAAAAATGGTGATTTGCAGTCTCCTTTATTTTTTGTATTGTTCATTACAATTGAATCTAAATTAAAAAAATTAAATATATCACACACACACACACACACACACACATTCATAGTCAAATTTCTAGTTTTCATTTTGCAACTCCAATTTATGTCCTGCAAACACAAATATGAACATGACTGGGCTACCTTCTCTATTTGCTCTTTCTGAGTCCCTAGCGATTCCTTCCATTAAACTCAACATATTCCAAAGAAAAGTCAACACACATTTCAATTCACAGGTCTCATCAGTGCTGATTACTCTCCAATGATATTAGATACATACAGAAATACCTAAATGAAGTCATACTAGCTGATAGTGCAGTCTTTTTTTTATTTTCAGATGACTTCCCCGTCCCTTTCTACCTTCCTCCCTAGCATCTCCCTGCCAAGGTAGCTTGTGTCTTGCCATATATTTCTCCCTGACCATTTAAATTGTAAACATGATGGGGACAGGGGAGGAAGAGGAGAGGGGGAGCGAGGGAGAAGGTGAAGGAGAGAAATGGGCTGAATTTAGTAGACACAATTAGAAAACAGTGTCATTTTCTTTCCTATTACAATTTTCAAACACAGTAAACACCCCCCCTACTCCACCCCCACAATATCTAAAGCAAATGCCATAGCTTTTGTTCACAATTTAAGCGATGAAAAAGTCCCAATCCTGGCAAAAATAAAACATCAGCCCTCTCATTGTTTTCATTTCCTTGACTACTAGCAAGTTTGAGCAACTTAGTTTTGCTTATGTGCTGGCTATTTGGATTTGGTCTTCTATTACATATAATTCTTAAATGGCAATTCTGGTGATGCCAAGTGGATGTTAACTTTAGGCCAACAACAAAATTAACTTTTTGGTAAAGAAAAGAGCTTTCTGAATTTTATTTCTCCACAGTCTTTTTTTTATTTTTTTATCCCAGGCAGAGATGCTCTTACAATGGCTCCTGCCATCTGTCTGCCTGCAGCTCTGCTATGTCCTGACCATGCTCCCCCTCTCATGCTAACCCAATCTTCTGTTAAAACCATACACTTCTCAGAGCTCTGCCCTTACTGTTACCTCAACCTGAAACCCTCTTCCCTTCAATACAGGTCTGGCTGTTCCCTCACTTCACACAGGGCTCTGCTCAAATGCCACCTCCTCTGAGAAGCCTTCTTGGACCACCCCTATCAGGCTCTATTTCCCTGTCCTTCTTTAGTACAGTAATACCTTGGTTTGCGAGCATAATTTGTTTTGGAAACAAACTACTTATATTGCAAGACATCACTCGTTCACCAAGTTAAAATGTAGTATTAGGTTGGTGCAAAAGTAATAGTTCTTGCCATTACGAGTAATGACAAAAACCGCTATTACTTTTGCACCAGCCTAATAGAACTATTTGTTCATCTTGAAGAATACTCACAAACCAAGTTACTCGCAATCCAAAGCTTTTACTGTATTTTTTTTTAATGGCACCTGATATATTTGGAGGAGGCGGGACTGTGGTGGTTTTTTTACTCTCTCACACCTGGGAGAGGCCAGGTCTTCATCTGTTTTGTTCCTTGCCTGGAATGAAGCCCAACACAGAGTAAGAATAATGAATTCTTGTTGGGTGAAAAAGATGAACAAAAGATTTTGTAAATGGCGAGGTTTATGGACAACCAGTGGTTAAGGTTAAATAGCAGATCAGTTACAAAGGAGCCACTAGGATGCAGAGACCAACTAATTCATCCAAAGCTTACAGTTGCCAGTACTCCATCATGAACACATTTTATATTCATTTCACTTGCCAGAAGTATGTTAATCTAAGTTCCTTGGAAGGCACAATATTGTGACATGGACAGAACAGTAACGGAGCAATTTAAGAAGTAAAAACAGTGCTGACTGAGCCTGGAGGAGTGACAGTTGAAGAAATGCCAGTAAGATGTGGGCTGTGGGATCTGGTATTGAGAATGCAGTCTGTAAAAGAGAAGATTCTGTCATAACTTTTTCTGTTTTAATTTCATTGCCTGGGAGTGTACGATGGAACTGGGAATACTGAAAAATGAGGAAGGGAGGCCGGTTAAAAAAGCAACAGCAGCCTGACTAACCTATTCAGCCTTAAACTATGTTAGTTTACTTTATGGTATCAATAATAGTCAGATGATTTGCTTTAAAGCAGAAATAAAACAGAAAGAACAGAATCAAGTTACAATTCAAAGTGTTTCCCGAATCCCCGTAACTCACTTTGGAATCATAGAGGCGGACGTTCAGTAACCACGTAAATACATCAATAGGCCATTTAAAATCCACCCCCTGTAGAATACAGTGTCTTGATTTCCTGGAAAAGGAAAAAGAATTTCAAAGTCAGAGTCATCCAGTATGCCTAGAGAGTAATATGGAGGAGAAAGTGGGCATCTTAAGTGGAGGGATAGGCCTGTGTCCCAGTCTTTCATAAACACAGTGATTAGAGTGAAAACCCTGTCAGACAATATCCCCAGTGACCCTTCAGCTGCTACTCTGACAACTGAAGTATAACTGTACCCTTTCACAAGTTATCTATGTAAAAGTTTCACTCATTTGTAATGTTCGTCTGCTGCGGGATTATTTTATGTTTATCACTCATTGCTATCTTTGCCCACGGGCTGCAAGCCTTTTCTTCTGACTGCACTACCTTGCTATATATGGGAAAAGTGATTTACAAAAATAAATTGAGAACAAAGTACCCTGGCTGTAGGAGTCATGGTGGACAGGATTTTGATCTGATGTTTGTATAAAAGACCCATAAAAATTACAAGAAAATAAGTCTTGTATGCTCATGTTCATTCTAATGTCTATATATAAGAATCCACCGGAAAATCAAATTAAAATGTTTCCTATAATTAAGCAAAAAAAGTGATAGACCAAGGCCAGGCCTCGTAGTAATCATGATATAATGCACGTTGCAAAAAGATTTTGGCAATGTTTATTCAGCGATAAAAACTTAAAGAGGACTTTGATACCATTCCTTTCAGAATAGTCACCATATTGGCTGTCAAAAACCAACAATTCCTAGCCAAAAACATTTAAATGTAATTATGGATTTATAATCAAAGCAGATGTAGCGATAAAGTGCTACATTATTTTACTTAAACAACAACACCATTCACAGTCACAGCCTCTTGGTATGTAAGTATTAAGAGCAATACCTACCACTGACAATTATCAGCTCTTGAATATTTTTACAAAAGTTGCTTTAAAAAAAATAAGGAAACCTAAGGAGGGACCAAAAACTTTGTAGACACTACTTTTTAATTAAAAATAAACAAATTCTTTAACCTAATAATTCCACTTCTAGAAGTTGATTCTAAAGTCTAGAGAGATATGATAGATGGTAAATGAGTGATGATAGATGATAGATGATAGATACATAGATACATAGATATATGATAGATAATGTGTGATATATGTGTGCACACTGTGTGTATGTGTGTGTGTGTGTTGTGTGTGTGCTAAGAGATAATTAGATAGATGATAGATTAGATGATCGATAGATGATAATTTCTATAAAGCATGTACACAATGTTATATATGGGGATGTTTATCACAGTAGTTAGAAACCTATGGAAGCAACAAAATGGATATAACTAATGGAAAGTTTAAATAAGTAAATTATGGTCCATACATAACACAGAATACTATGCAAGATCTTGTTATAAGATCCTCTCATTCCTGTCTTTAATTTTTCAGAACTGCGGACTGGCAAAAATTAGTGAGAAGTCACAACACACTCACATTCCCAAAATATTTCTTAATTATGCTTTAAAAATGGTCTTCAACCTGTTTATTTTAAATGTTACAAACAATTGATTGGAAATTGAGAGTCAAGATTTTGGTGCAGTACGAAACTCAAAAATATTTCTTCCTAATCATGCACTTGTAAAGCCAACTTAAAAAGCAATTAAAATTGAGGGTCCT